TGTTGATAACAAGCTTGTCGAAAGTGCTGGGCATGTGGATTCTGGGCATCATAAAAAAGAGCGTAGTGTTGAAACTGCCTAAATGTTTCGTACGGATATAATTTTTTCAAGCGCATGTCCCGTGTGATCAGGAAAGGTGAGGGAATGAGTACAATGGATGTGCTGTACTGATGGGCTCGGCGTAATTGTTGAAATTTAATATAAACAAGTTTCGAGTGGCTAGAAGTGCACTGTTTCTACCTATAAAAGGAAGGGAGAGTGACAGGGACAGTCACAACTAAAATGTTGGTCGCCTTCCTTGTGCTGCCTTTCTTGTTGGTGAATATCGAGGCTGAGAGTAAGTGCAACTGCAACTTCAACTCACTCATAGCCCTCGGAGATCTTTATTACGTTGACTGTATGCGGCTGTTTCGCGAATCAAAATGGAATTCCAGGTCTGCAATGCCTCGAACTGGACAAGCTGGAAGAAGTAATTACGAAAGCAGTTGGTCCCAAATCGGTCAGTCCTTTCTCGATGCATTGCTGGAAAATGAATATGGGGTAGCAACATGTGGCGTCGTTATCTCAAGTATGGTCTGCAGATCAAATTCAGCATCAGCTCTCGTCAGGGCAAGGGCAAGTGTGCCCCCCCCCCCCCATTCTCTCCTGCAACTTTCAGACGGGACAGAACAATGGAAACAATAAGCTATAAATTGGCTGATTCCAACAAGTTAGACGTAATCCAAGTGCGCACTCAAATGCACTGAGACTTCGATTGAATAAGAGCTATTAATACATGGTGAATTATGTTTTGTCGATAACTTAATATGCCCCCAACCTTTAGCATGGCCCCCTCCATGCCCGTCATGTCGTTCGAACGTGGAAAAGGCACTGTAAACTTCTACAGGGTTTATTGCAAAAGGCTCAGAAAATTCAAAAAGGTCAAAAAATTATGAGTATTTTCTGACGATCTCTCAGAGTCGAGCGCCTTTACCAAGCCCGAAACAGTTTCACGTCGTCTTCTATTTCTAACCTTACGATTAGCTAAGATATTCTGCCTTTTGTTAGCTGGCTTACTAGCTGCTACTCACGAAAGCGAAAACCTTTGTTGCTCTGTTTGTGAGCCAGAAACTGGTTCCTACGCTGTACCCCTAACGCGGACATGATTGTAAGGTGTAAGAGCAGCAACGGCAACATTTTGAGGAAGAAGCAAGTCCAGCACAAGGCAATATGTGAAGGTTACTTTACTAAGCTTCTGAACGACTCTCTCCACTAAACAACCCACGAGCAGAGCATGCAGCTGGCCCATCGCATTCCGAGCAGTCGGAAGTTCGACGAGCAGCAGGGAACATGAAGGTTGAAAAAGCGGCTGGTCTCGATGGAGAAACC